TGCTACCCCGGGTGATGCTGGCAATGACAGAAGCAAAGGAGACTTTGCCATGACTGAGCTACAGCGTGGCTACATAGGTTCAGCCTTTGGCCAGCACCAGGATGTGGAGATAAAGGCCAGGAATCCTTCCAGGAATTGTTCTGATGGGTTTGTTGTTTTCTCAGTAGTTTCTGTTGCTGAACTTCCAGTTGCAGATGTGATGAGACAAATAGGGTTTCAGGGGGAGAGGTGACAAAGATGCCCATGACTGTACCCCCAGAGCAGCCTCCTGAATAGGGGCCATAGGGAGTGACCACCTGGCAGAATTCCCCCTCACAGCTACACTGGACTTTGTCTGGGACATCAACATCCCTTTATACTATCAACACTTCATTTTTCCCCAAGAAAACTGTTTACAAGAGATTTTTATATCACTTTGATACTTAGTACACGTGAAATGGTTTATTTTGAGAAGTTGTTAAATACCTTGTTGGAGATATTGCTGTGTTTGACCAAAAAGTTCTAGAATATTTTCTTTGTTATTATTTACAATACACAGCTCAAATTGGATTTTTCTGTTTCACCTGACCTAAAAAAAAAAAATTACTTTCCATTTTTTAATCCTTCTTAGATCATAATTACAGTTGTAAAATGGGCTGTTATTCTCCCAAGCAGTGAATTACTGGATGGAGATGGAGCAGGGAGTGTGGTGCACTCGTAGCTTTGCAGTCATTTGGTGCTCTATATATAGAGACAACACTCTGAGGGAAGCAGGAGAAAAATAAAACTGGTGCTGCTGTGTTTCTGCTACAGATAGGAAATCAATAACGTATTTTTGATGAAAGGTGGGAGCTGCAATTCATACTTGTAAAGGCATTGTGTCAAAAATCTACGTAGCATTAACAAAAAAATGTTCATGGACTACTTGGAAAAAAGTTATTTTCTTCCATTCATCTGTGAAATCCATTCTGTACCCTCAGCTGCCAAGCCCTTGACCCAGGCAGGCACACAGGAATTGCCAGCAGGGGAATGAGAAATATTGTACAGAGCCAGCACCAAATGTCTTTGCACTTAGACCTCACTGGGAATTGCAAAGTACTCTGATAACATGTTTGATGACTATTTCAGGAAATTACAAAAGTCATTGTCTCTTGCCACTGGAAGCTGAAATTGTGTAACATTTCACTACAGTTGCTGCTACTAAAGGAAAAGCAGATACATAGTCAATAATTTGTTTAGAGGATACTAAATACTTCATTTAATAAATCTACCTTGTCTCCTAAGTGGAAACAGTAATGAGAATACTTTAATTATCATTTCCTCCAACTTTAATATTCAGGAAGATTCAGGCGTGCTATGCATATGAATTTAAAACTTCATAACACAAAGAGATTAAATCACTAACAAAAGTATGTGGATGCCTAAGTAATAAAAGGAGAATATCAAAGGATGCAAAAAGTGAAACACTACAGAAACCATACCATAAAACTAAAAAAAATTTAAACATCTTTTGTGTTCTCAGGCTTCAAAGGCTTTTTTACTTCCCAGAAGAGCTCCATTCTCTAGTGTTACACCTCAAGAACAGAGTGTACATAATCTGAAAAATGTGCAATACTGGTGGTTGGGATTTTTGGGAAGAGTTAACTTGAGGCAAGGCTCCCTGTTTTTTACCTCACTATGACACCTTTTCTGGCTTTCCTTTAGTATTATTTTGTATTACTGTTGACTAACTGCACCCATCACCATTCTCTATTGAAGTTTCCTGTGGAATTACATGCATGTGACCTAGGAAGTGGTCATCTTAGGGTTAAGTATGAGCAGGTGGTAAGCAAGCAAGATTTAAGCTTGCTTATGGTGGACTAGGTTATGCACTTTGTAGTTGAAAGGAATAAACAATGTCTTCCATTTATTACCAAGTAGTACAAGATGCTCAAAAAGGCAGAGTTCAGTTTTAGAGAAATGCTCCATTTTCAGCTAGTTGGTTCTGTTAGTGGAAACTGCAGCTTTCCAGTGTCCCTTGAGTTTGTCTGCCTCTCGCTTCTTGCAGACAAAGATAAGGAACAGGAGCTGTGTGCCTGGGCTGCCATCCCCCAAACCCTGGCTTTGAGGATTTTCAGTCCTTCTGGCAGGTGGCAGCAGCTCTGTAATCAGGCAACCCTTAGGTAATGGTATTACCGAAATGGGGGCAAACAAGGTTCATTACAAAGGCGCACTTTGCTAAGAAAAGTAGCTTTACATAAAAGGTAAAGTGTTTGTTTATCTTGGGAGTGTGTGCCAGGAAGAACCAAAGGGCCACACAGAACTGCCTTACCAGTCTGCAAGTGCTTGGCTCCTGATTATAGCATGGCAATATCCTGATCCAGTCCTCAGAAATAAATCCTTGCTCTTTGATACAGCAAGGTTTGCCCTACGGTGTTTCTGGAGTACTGTTTTGATGTTCTGATTCAAATATTTGGGAATGTTGTAAAGCAGGTGGTGCTCTGGTTTAGGTGTTGCAGAGGGTGCAATGTTGGCAGCAGCCAGTGCACATTAACAGCCAGAGCAACTTCAACCTCAGCTAACACTCACTTTGTGCCTCAGCAGAGATATTTGGTGGAAGGATGTGTTTCAATCTGAGTTAAAAGAGAATTTTATATTAGTTTAATAAAAGAGACATTGAGACATTACAGTTTGACCTAAAGAAAGGATACAGATGCCACTGATTAGTCTTACTGTCATAAAGTGGTTGTTCCTGCTAACAAAGAAAATGACATTATGTTCTCTTGCAATGTATTCTGCCCTTTATAACCTTCAGAACAAAGCAGCTACATTCAGAAATCAGGAACTGTGTGGTTTACTCATATCCCCTCAGTATTTATATTTCTCAAAGGGAAGGCAGAGGATACCTGAGAATATTGTCTGATAAGACAGCTTGGTTAATGTCTGTGGGTTTAGACTCTGTGGTTTTCACCAAATTGCAAAAAGCAATTTCTAATCTTGACTGGAAAAACAACAAATCCTCAGAAAAAAATGTGTTGTTTTCTGAGATGAAACCATTTCAACTGCCCTTGGAAGCTAAAAAGTTAACATTTCCTTGTGCTGCTACAAATATTTCTCTATTTCCCCCAAGTGTACTAAGTCAGTATAACACTCAACTGACTTTGAATATTAGGACTAGAACTAATAAAGTTGGATCCTAGTTTATCATGGTGTATTGCCTCTGAATTCACATCTAAACCCACCAAATGTAATTATTTAGCTAGACTAAAGATTAAACTATGCTGAGCTAATACTCAATGGATATAAATAAATGCTGTTACTAAGCAAATTTCCACATACAAATGCTTCATTCCACAGTATCCCTCACATCTACAAAATCATCATTCATTTTTTGTTATATTCAGTTTTTAGAATCAAAAATTTGTAGATATGTTAACTTACAAATGAAGCATTACGCACTTTGACTCTTGCTATTTGTTATCTTCTATCTCTTCAGTGGATGTGTGCAGATGCCTATTTGGGAGAGGATTTAGGTTATGGTGACCACATTAACTACAGCTTTACCCAAATGTGTTGTTCCTTCCTGCATTAGCATTTTTTGCATTAAAAGGATGTGGTTTCATAAAATGATATCTACAGCTTGGGTTAAATATATCACTTTACAAAAGAGAACGGAAGAATTTGTGAATGCATTTTCTAAATTAGAGAGATTTTTAGCAAGGACATGTGAGTTTGTGTCTCAGAGCCCCCATGAGGTGCAGACAGACTGATGGGATCAATCCCATTGCCTTGCCCATGATGGTATATCCTGGCACTCTGGAGTGATTCATTTTCTATGCTGGTTTAGTCTAAAGCTTCCCATGGGAGGAGGCTGCTGCCTGCACTCATTCAAAGATAGTGGCTGTCGTGGTTATCATTTAAGAATTAATTGTTTGGGACATGCACAGATTAAATAAATAGGACTGGATAGGTTTTGAGTGTTGAACTGTGTTTAATTACCAGAAGGAAGAATGCAGGCTGACTTCTTCTCTTAGGAACTACACAGGATGGATGCAGTAAGTGTTCTTTAATGGCAGATCAGAATTCATCATCTCTCCATATCTGACTGCTCATGCAAGCAGTGGCTGAAGACTTTTACAAGGTAGACAGCAATTCCATATTTAGTCCTCAGAGTGCCTTCAAGCAAGCCAATTTACAGGCCATGTGCTAATATTAATGTTAAACTATCCTCAAGGAGCACAAACTGTCACTGCTCTTCCCTCTTTAGTGTTTTACAGAGCTTTGCTTCTCTTTGGCTTAGGGAGATGGGAAAGACAAATTGTCAGTAAATGCTAACCAGAGGAGCAGGCTGAAGGATGCACTGTCACACAGTGAGGGAGTTTTATGACTCAGGTTTTACTGACCCCCTCAGGACAGCACCAATATTCACAGAAGTGCAGTATCAATTATTTCACCTGACTCTTGACTTACTCTGCCAGTCCTGGCTTGAGAAGTTCCCCAGCCTCCGTTGCAAAAAGCAGGATGCTGGCAAAGTTACCAACTTGCTGATACTTCCAAACCACTCTGCTGGGGGTAGGAAGACAGATTGAGACATGAGGAAAGGACAGCTCAGTATTCAAAAACTTTGTTAATCCACAGTGCCAGGAAATGGGAATTGTTTTCAGGTAGAGAAGGGAATCATTCTTAGGGTGAAAAAACCCAAACTGGATCTTAAGTTTTCAGCTCCTTTTGCAAATACAGTGTTAGGCTGCAGGGCCCTTGTGCTGCTCCATTTTTTAGCAGGAAGAGAAGAGTGTGCTCTTACACAATGGTTTTGATGATACTTTTGCTTGCTTTATCTCATCCCTCCAGTTTTTGGCAGGCAGCTAGGCAGCAACTTTCTGTTCAGGCTCATTTCTTCAGTAATTATCCTAAGTGGTACAGCACTCTCCAATCATTCTTTTTATGAGATACACTCATCATTAGAGATAAGTTTTGCTTCACAGAAACTAATCATAGTATCACAGAATATTACAGTAATACCAAACATGTCTGTTTGTTAGACCACTGTGTCTTGGGATGGAGATAAGCTGCTTTGTGTACAGAATGGAGAGAAGGAAGGCCGTGGTTGGACCCAGTGGATTGAAGGAGATGAAATGCACCTGGTAAGATCATGTAAGAGGTTTTGAATGCCCCTCCATTAAAATGGTTAGATATAACACAGCAGGGAATGTTCTATATCATTTTGGCTTACTTTGACATAATTGTGTTTTGGTGCAGCATTTGACTTGTTTCTAAAGCAACAATTTCATTTGGAGCCATTATGTTCCTATGTCCCTTACAAAGCCTGACCATTTCGAATGCTCTTTCTGTGCTCAGTGTCTGTCCAGACTCACCAGGCTGAAATGCTCACAAGGAAGACATTTACCAGAATGTTCCTCACAGTCTGTAAAATACTCAGTATGGGAGCTGTGAAACCAAGCACCCAACAATAAGGGAAAATACACCATTGTTCTTTTAAAATAATTACAGGCCACATTATTGCCTAGAGAACTAAAACAGCAGTTAAGCTTTTGAAATTGATGGTTTTTTTCAGATCATCATTTTTATCTTTCTAAATTAACAGGACCTGAAAGAAGATGCCTGTTCTTTTGTCCTATAACTCTTTATAGCATCCTCACTCTCTCATCAGTGTGGGTAAAAGGCAGTGTTCCTGCTGGGATAATAAACTCCAACCTCCATTTCTCCACACTGTGCAGTACTATTAGCATTCAGCAATCTAAATTGATATCTTCAAATTGTTCAATTCAGTAGCAGAGTTATGAAATCTTTGCAGAAGTACCCCGAACCCCTTATTAGTAAACATAATTTTGAGGAATATTGGTGGTCCCAGAATCCAGTTTAGGAGAGGGATGAATCTTTCCACCTGGGCTTGGTGCAGCATAGGCAGGGAGAAGGTTGCTGTGCATGCACACTCCCTCCAAGAAGCACCTTTCAGTATTTCCACATTGCTCCCAGCTGCACAGCAGGCAGGGCCATGGCAGCAGGCCCCAGCCCTTCCAGCTTCTCTGCTGGCACACAGGTCCCAGTTCCCATCACAGTGCCTGGCCCCAAGTTCAGCTCACACCTGGCTGCCCCAGTCCTGCACATACAAACAGTAGCACCAGTTGCTCGGATTTCTCTGGACTGGCATCCTCCCTTCTGGCCCTTGCTAGCTCCCAGGCATTGTCTCTTCCCATCTTCTGTCCCCAGCACCAATTCCTTCAGCCCTGGTCTCTGCTGTCCTTACTCTGATTCCTGCTCTAGCCAGCCTGCCCAGGGACCTCTGTGCCCAGAGCACTTTCTAGACTTGTCCCTGTCAGAAGGTTCATTTTAGAGGTCAGAAACTCAGATTCAGTTGCTCAAATACTTGTGTCTCATGCCAGTTTAGGTAGCCCAGGGTAACCTGACTGCTCTGATGCTGCTTTTCAGAAGGCCAGGAAGAATTCTGGATCATACCTGATCATTCACTAGCACTTGAAAAATTTACCACAATCAGAAGTCAGTACAAAATTAATTAATGCAAAGGAAGTTACCAAGTATTTTAGAGCTCGCTCCTTCATATTTCAATTTTCTCACTTCTTGTATTTAATGAATTTCAAAAGACGTCTTCTTTATTTCTCTAATCCTTGTTAATGCAGCTCTCTCCATTAAAAATACAGTAGAGTCCCCTTTAGTATCTTATTTTTGACCAGCTAAGATTACTAGGTCCTGTCCTTTTGCGAGTGCTTTGATACAATGAGTAGTTACCTTTAAAGAATTGATACTTCAATAGTTTTATGATCCTATTGAACTTTATACACTGAGCCAAGTGTTAATTTACTCTTTTCACAGTTCTGCAGAGAATAGGACCACATCCTTTAGTAGTTTATTGCTTCCTATTTTCTTCATTTCACTCTGTGGTCTGTACTTTGTAGTTCTTTTTAGATTTTATTTTATGTGAGTGACCATTCCCCATTTCCTTTTGAGTTTTATTGCCCTTTTCTACTGTATTGATTGCTTCTGCTCTGTAGTTTTTGTCACTGTCAGCAGATCTCTCAGCCTTTATTGCACACTCCTTCTTCTGGGTTACCTCTGTAAGAGTGAACAGAACAGGTTCTAAGTAAAGTCCCTGCATCAGTGTGTTGTTCCACCAACTCAGCATGAAGCACTTTCTCTTATTGGGGCTGAGCAACATATGTCAATTAAGGTTATTGACCTAGTTTAAGGTTTTTTAGAGTCCCCCATAAGAAATGTGTACAACTTCCTCAAAATATTCTGGGAGCTTTATTAAAAGTCTCATCTTGAACTGGAAAGTGCATCCCTTTGCTAGGTCATGCATCAGCACTGTCTTTATGTCCTTTAAGAGCTTCCACACTCCTTTTTCTGGCACCTAAACCTGGCACACACCCCAGGCACACACCTGTGTGCACTTCTCAGGTTAAACTTGAGGAGTTTCAGGAATGGGGATGGGTGAACAGGCAAACAGCAGCAGCCTCACAAATCCGAGCCCAGGATGGAATCTCTGCCCCTTCTCATTCCCAGCTCACAGAGATCCAGAGAGCAGCAAGGGGGGGAGGTTGGAAAAGCCCTTGTGGAACTCAAAGAAAAGCTTTATGCATCCAGGCTGCTCAGGCTCAGACAAACCTCACTGCTGTGCTGTTGACAGACCCGGAGCAAATCTGTACAGGCACCTGCCTTTTGTAGCCATGAACTCTGTGTTGCTAAAGTGGACCCTGATTTCTGAATTTGTAGGCTTGAGCTACCAGTCATCACCAGACAGACTCAGAGCTGGTGAGGCAAATCCATCCCCAGTTCTTCATGTATCCAAAATAGAGAATGCCCATTCCAAAGGCCTAAAGCAGTTGCATATTACTCACTGCAAATAGAGAATAATGCACCAGGAACATATTTGGCCCTTTCAGATCTGAAATCCCAAAATAACTTCCCTTACTCCACCTTTTAGCAGAAAACAAACCCAAACCAGATGGTTTCTTTTAGGATGAAAAACAGGCTAAAATATGTACAAGCATCCCAATCTAATTTAATAGAAAATTGTGGATTCAAATTCAGCTGGATGTACACATAAATCTATAATGTTTGTGTCCTAAGTAAAAGTTGTGGTTTTTGATTATTTTCTCTTCCTAGGAAATAAGAGTGTGTGGAGTCACATGTAAGCAGGTCTTTAAGAAGGTGCAGTGAGCCCACTGCTGCTACAGGGGTGAAGAACAATAGAATTTACAGACTTGACACCAACTCTCCAAATGCTAGTGCTGAGCATCCCCAGCAACAAGAGCAAACACAGAAATGAAGATCACATTAGAACTGTATAGTTGGAATAAAATATTTTTAGGAAATTGAAAAAAAAAAAATACTGCAAATAAAATTATTTTTAGAAATGCCAATTAAAGATGCTAAACTCTCTAAATGTCTGCATACCATAATTCTCGACTACACCAAAAAAGGACTACTAGGTATAAAACAAGATTCTGGAGGTTTAGACCTTGTAACCTATTTTTTTACTCTCAGTAGACTCACCCTTTCAGAGCCTTAGCCTTGTTTTCAAGTAATGAACTGCAATTGGAGAAAAGCAAATGAGAGCTGTAGGATGCAGCTTCACTTAAATACTGAATCCATTGAAGCCAGTAAGAATGTTACCATTAGCTCTAGTGGAGTAGCTCTATACTGGAAGTGTTCCATCAAAAATACAAATCTGATTTCTCAAAACAAGTTAATTTATGGATCAATACTTTGGAAAAAAATGCCAACAAAGGCATAGCTAAGGGACAATTATTTTCGAAATGCTTTAGCCAATATCTGCTCATGCATTTTGTTTCTTGTTCTGGAGAAACTAAGATCATAGCTAGAAACTGTCTGTAACTGCACACGCCACACAGACTGAGAGCAGCATTGCTTTGTACAGTATCATTTGCAGATGTTTTTATGCCCATCATAGTCCCATGTTCTCCTGCAGACTGAGCTTAGGAAAGCCTTGGCCTGGCAGTTGAAATCACAACACTGATTAAACATTAGTGGGGGGAATAATGCTGCCAGATTTTCAGTCCATCAACATACTGGATACAATGAGCACCACAAGGTCATACCAAATTCAAAAAGTTTAAATTCACAAACCTTTAGCATGTAACCCAGAATTCCTGGTGTCTCCTGTAACAGCTGTTACCAGCCGTTTTCAGGGACTCAGTGTGGAAATCACCATGGCAGAGCCTGCTCTGAAATGGGAACATCCCTTCCCTTGTCTGAAATGGGAACATCCCTTTCCCTGCTCTCAAATGGGAACATCCCTTCCCTGCTCTGCTGCAGCTCCTGTGCTCAGCCCTGCTTTCTCCTTCCCTGGGCACTCAGTGCTGACTGAGACATTTTAGACATGTAAATGGAGCAAATGCTGCCATGCTCTCCTAACCAGAGACTGCTTTAAAACATGCACTGTTATTAATCGTGTTTAGGAAAGCTGGGAGGCTGATCTAACATGGAGTCATGGACTCAGGGAATCACAGACCCAGAATAGCCTGAGCTGGAAGGGACCTCAGAGATCCCACAGTTCCAACCTTCCTGCCATGGGCAGGGACACAGCATGGAAAAAAGGAGGTTCAGAAACAGCCATTGTAAAGTCTGAAGTCAGCACAACAGGGATGGTAAACTCTCTGAACTATGGTACTTCAATGGTACTGTATCTTGTGAGTGTAGCACCAGATGTGCTGTAACAGACATCTAATTCAATTTCCTACAGTTCTGAGGTTTGCTTTCCTTCAGAAAATACCCAGAAGATATTACCCATGAAGACTTAGGCATCTCCGTGTGATAAACAGGTGAATAACACTCCCTGCCCACGTAAATTCTTGTGTTACCATTGCAACAGCTGGGAATGATGCCATTCAGAATCACAGACATGCAATGAAATTATTTACTTTAAGTTCCCCTGTATTTTTTTTCTTGGCAATACTTATGCTAAGGAAGTCTCTGGGAAATATATTTGAGTCTGATCAGCCAGGTCCATGCAGAAGCTACTTTTCTCTCCTGGAGGAGTGTGTTAGCCAGCTAGCTGTGTGTCCATAGCTAAATGGATATGCCCACAGACAGACCGAGCACCAGCTCATGGGGATTGAGTTTTCTGGTACTTGGAGTGGGACAGGTCAAAACTGGTTACAATTAAATAAGATAGAAAGGTTGTAGGAGAGGGAAAGGATCAGAAACCTGTGGATCTTGGGCAAAAATACTGCTCTGCTTAAGGGAAATGGCAAATGCTTGCCTATTTAAAATGCAATTTATCATGTTACACAAGGCTGAGGATATACCAGTTGCCAAATTTCAGTGCATCAGTCATTCGTTTTTCTTGAAAGATTATTGGACACAGAAACTCTTTTCCTCCAAGTTTCTAATTATTTATTTCATAATCATGGACACCCTGCAGGTATCTTTCCATTCTTCGTCCCCAAGGAGAGCAAGAGAACAAACAAGTGTAATAAAGTGATGGCTCACACCACTATCCCCAGATAAACTTGGCAGGATTTTTTCTGTGGTTCAGCACTGACTGAGACCTTTTTTTGAAATGTAGTTTTCCTTCAATAGAACTTGGCAGTTCATAACCCTTAATTCACCAGCTGTCTTCTAATTTTTGCCTGCAGCTCTCTCCAGTCTTGTGTAACATTCACAAACTCTTTTTGCAGGAGGTTGTAAGTGGATCAATTAACATCTAGCTAAGTAAATCCAATTGTTAAAAGCTATTATTATTGTAATCAAACAGACAGCTTTTCCCCTTTGGGTCATTTGGTACAAGGGCAAATTTAGCACCATACTAATAACTAATGGCTTATCAAGCAGAAGCAATGTAACCTGCTGCTAATTATGGAGGAAAGGCAAGCTCACAAAGTACTTCCACAGCTCATGGATGGAAAATACAGAAACTTCAGGAATGCTTAACGTAGATTTACTTCAAATCATCTCAATTGATTGTCATTGTAATTGTAACCTCTTATCTCACTGCAGCAACCCTTTCCCTTGGAAGAGGAAATTATGTTCATTCCTTGCTTCCATGACAATGCTTTCCAATTAATGTGTGTAAAATTAACCATGCTGTTTCCATGAACCTTTAATAACTGTTATCATGAAATATGATTTAAAACTTTCTCCAGAAAATAGATGCTTACTGAATGGATAGCATACAACGATTACTTGTCAAGCATCTGCCTCCCTGACTATTCCATAACTATTTAGTAACCAAGACCTTCACAGGGAATTTGTGTCCAGATTTGCTTGCTACTCAGGAATCAAACTTTATATTGATTTTCTTGATCTCCAACAGAATTTTAGCCATGGTTTGCCAATATCCACTCTGTATTTGTACAGGACTGCAACACCTTCTAATAATGGACGTTTTGTATTTTGTTAGGAAAGACCAGTTCTTACAGAAGCAGTGTGAATGGAAAGTGTAAACAAAACAGGCTTTTCCCATTGTTGAGAAAACACTTTCTAAAGTTTACTTGAACCTGCAACTTACATGTACATTATAATGTAATTCCTCCCACCAAACAGTCATTCCCTGTTTTGTCCATGCCACTCAGGTTTTCTTTACCCCTCCCAGTGTATAAATTTGGCTATTCTCATCTCTTACAATCTAACCATGGAAACCAGAATTGAAAGAAGAGTGTTAGAAGTCTACATTTATGCAACAGTCAGCTGTGAAGGACAGGGAGGAGTCCTTACTATGATCTGTGTAGCAGTTTTATTGTAAAATAAACACGGGCTGAATGGCAAATTCTTCACAACCAGCAGGAGCATCAGATTCCCAGAGTGTCCCATGGGACTGAGCCCTGGAGCACAGCATCCCACCATGGCATGGATGATGTGCTCCCCTGGGTACATCCTCTTCCATCAATGTCTGTCATTTGCTTGGCTCTACTCTATGAAACTTGACAGTCAAAAGCAAGATTTCACCATTGCAACATTAAGAAAACTTCCTAGTATGTATCATTTTTTATTATATTCTCTTTTGGACAGCCTCATCTGTAATCACAGAACAGATTCCCAGCTATTCATCCCTTCACCCTCTATTAGCAGCATATTTGTCTTGGATTATTACCTGGGTGGTACCACTATTTCTATTTTAAGAAGCTTTTTTCACCTCAAAGCCAATATTTATTTAAATAATTTGCTCCTGTCTAGAAAAAGTGCACACAAAAGTAGAGTCCCTTCAGTGCCAGTACCTGGTATTTTATTACCAGGGCAAGCACTTTCTCCATATTTATAGCTAATAATAAGAATCCACACTGAACACTTAAGCAAAAGGGCATTTCAGTTCTTCACCAAACCTTTCAATAAGACTGCCTGACAATCAAGTTTCTGCACCATGGAGCAAAACAAAATTCCCTCCTTCAATGGCAGCATTCTTATTAAAGGAAGGGAGGAAAGGATAGGAAAGAGTCTGTGGTTATTGAGTCTACACTTACTCACATAACAAGAGACCATTTGTCTTGTAGTACACCACTATCCTAGTGCTGAGCAAATAAGACAAGAGCATTCCAAATTTAAAATATTTTATTTAAGTGTTCAGCTATTTGACATTTCCAGATTGAAGGAGAAGCACGAGCAGTCATTTCTGGGTCCATCAGCCTTGCAGAGTAGCTAACATTTAAAACTTGTGTGTGCATGTGCAGAAACACACAGAACATGGTTATCAGCAGCACACTGCAAAGATAGGCAGTCCTTTAAATGCTTTTAGGCTCAGTTCCAGAGCTTTCTTGTGGCTGGCTGGCCTTTATTTCCCCTCCCCTTCCAGTTACACAAGGCAACAGTGCAGAGCAGCAGAGGCAAAACACAAGGAGTAATGAAGACTTAATGCAAACTGTACTGAAATTTGGAGTTAAACAGAAAAGTTCCTCTCCATCCTGGTGTTCCCACTGAATTTTTCTCTTGTGTGAGTCAATGGATTAAAGGAAGTGTTCATAATGCAGTGCAGGCATCATTATAATTGGTGAGGTTTAGAACCACAGCATGTGGGGAGAGCTCACTGGAATTTAACATTCCATCAGTTACAACAAGAGTCACAATAGTTCCTTGCTCCCCTCCTCTAATTTGAAATCAGCATGATTTGAGTTATATTTTCTTACCAAGGCATTGATGCTTGTCATCCATAACCATTCCAATTTCCAACACTTCTCTCCAGCTGGACATGCTAAGGGCATGCAGAGGAAGTCAGCACAACTCAATAGAACTTCTGTGAAATGACTGTGTGATCTTGCACTCATCCTGTCACAAAACGTGTTGCCATTCTTGATGCTGGCATTTCCAAGGTTACTTCTGTAGAGGGAAATGGGAGAAAAGTGCCATTTCATGTGTGTTACAGCAACACAGAAAGAACTTGCTCAGACACAGCACTGAGCAGCTCCTCCACATACCCAGCTTTGGGTACAA